GGGGTAGGATTGGTAATGGTACTCAGTGCACAGTGGTTCGTTGTCAAGAAAAACATCCACTGAGACAGACCGTTTATTGAGAAATTTGAGGAGGGTTGGTTACCAGCGACTAATCAGTGTAATCAACCAATAACTCAAAGTAACTTTTAGCAAAAAGAATCCAGATATCTGTTTCTTTTAAGTAAGAAAAGGCACATAGGCAGGATGATGGCTTTGTGTGTGTGTGTGTGTGTGTGTGTGTGTGTGTGTGTGTGTGTGTGTGTGTGTGTGTGTGTGTGTGTGTGTGGGTGTGTGTATGCATGTGTGTACTCAGTTATATTATGTAGACTGTTTGTGTGTGTGGGGGTGTGTGCGCGTGCGTGCGTGCGTGCGTGCGTGTGTTTGTCATATATATACATTGGTCTGTGTTCACAGCTACGGTGACGCAGTGAGAGAGCTGGACTCCGGAGTGGGACGTATCCTGTGAGTGTGTGTGTGTGTGTATGTTTGTGTGTATGTGTGTGTGTGCGTGTGTGTATGTGTGTGTGTATAGACATCCATAAATGCTCAGACATCATCCACATTCACAGTTACGGCGATGCAGTGAGAGAACTAGACTCCGGAGTGGGACGTATCCTGCAGACGTTGCAGAAACTCAAAGTGGACAACAACACATTTGTGTTCTTCTCCTCGGACAATGGAGCCGCCACGTACAACAAGGCTAAGGGTGGGTCTGTCTGCTGCCCTACTTTTACTTTTTATTGGAACCTTTTTTTTTTTTCTTTTAGATTTGTTTTGTTGGTTTGTTTTTCGAGGGAGATTTGGTCGCTTTTAAGCAGAAGACGGCTATTTCGAAGAAAAAGTCGAAGGTAAAGTTTTTGCCCCTTGTTCAGGCATGGCACTTATATGTGAGGCAGCGTGGTGGAATCAGGCTCTCGTCAATTTTTGGGCATGTAGAGTTATTGGTATCATCTTAAAGCTTGTTCAATTGTGTTTATTTTGATGGAAAAAAATCCATTTATCTTGAATTCAAGTCGAGATATTTGCGAATGAAGGGGGTGGGGGTCACCTGTTTTCAGAGGTAAAATTAGTGAGAAAATGGCCGCCAAAGATTAGTTATTTCCTTAGCTTAAGAGTCCGTGGTAACTGAACATTTATACTTTGTGTGCCTTTAATCAACGTTTTTCAGAAAAATCCACACAGAAATGAGTTCTTTAAGGGGCATGAAAGGTGTTGAGCCAAAAAACAAAAATTCGATAAAACTTAACAAACCTGTGGAAAAATTCAAGTTTCTTCACTTTGAATATTTTGACGAGAGCCTGATTCCACAACGCTGCCTCACATTTGTTCGCTTTTAAGCAGAAGGGGGCTATCCCCCCAAAAAAAATCGAAGATAAAGTTTTTGCCCCTTGTTCAGGCATGGCACTTATATGACCTTCTTGTGATGCAAGTATTGTAAAACCATTTGTAAAAAAAAGGTGGACATCTAAGACAGTTGGAACTGTATATCAAACCCCTTCATATTTGGTCGCATTAAAGCACAAGGGGGCTATCCCGAAAAATGCTGTTTTGAGAAAATCGAAGGTAAAGTTTTTGGACTCTTGCTCAGTTTCTTAAAAAGACAAGGAGAGTTTTCTCTACAACCAAATACACACACCAACGAAACCAAACTTCTCCTATAGGTAGGGCAATACTCACTTTTAGAGTAGGTTAAGATTTTTGAAAACCCCCGAATTCTGGGTTAGCCCGCTTGTCCTTAAAAGTGACCGTTTTGTTTATTCATTTAGGTGTTCATTAAAAAAAACAAAAAAAACTGTTATGACCAAAACTAAGTCGATAGTGCCATAAAACACTTACTCAATCAATTAATCATTGAAAATGTTTTTGTTCCTTGCCCAACCCAATCCAAATTGCCGTTGTCTGATTTGTCTCAGAAGATGTACGTGATATTGTATTGTAAAACTGTTAGTCAAACAAAAAAGGTTGACATCTAAGACAGTTGGAACTGCGTTTCAATTCAAGCCCCTTTATATTTGACTGTAGTCTATCTGACAGGTGGAAGCAACAGGCCGTTCTTGTGTCAATGTGCTTCACTTTACACAAACAAACAAACAAACAAACAAACGCACAAAAACAAAACAAACGCCCAAACGCGGGAACAAACAAACAAACTGTGGTATATCTGGCAGGTGGCAGTAACGGGCGATTCTTGTGTCGATGTCTTCTCTTTACACAAACAAACAAACGCACAAACAAACGCACAAACAAACAAACGCACAAACAAACAAACTGTGGTCTATCCGGCAGGTGGCAGTAATGGTCCGTTCTTGTGTGGCAAGGAGACGACGTTTGAGGGCGGCATGAGAGAGCCGGCGGTGGCGTGGTGGCCAGGTGTGGTCCAGGGGGGACAGGTAAATGACGCACGTCAGGGGTTGTCTGTTTGTGTTGTCACAGGTAAATGACTTAACTCAGGGGTTGTCACAGGTGAAATACATACCTCAGGGGTTGTTTGTTTGTGTTGTCACAGGTAAAATACATACCTCAGAGGTTGTCTGTATATGTGTGGTCATAGGGGGGCAGGTAAATGACTCACCCTTAAGTGTTGTCTGTTTGTGTTGTCACAGGTAAATGACTTAACTCAGGGGTTGTCTAGTTGTGTTGTCACAGGTAAAATACATACCTCAGGGGTTGTCTGTATGTGTTGTCACAGGTAAAATACATAACTCAGTGGTTGTCTGTATGTGTTGTCAAAGGTAAAATACATACCTCAGGGGTTGTCTGTGTGAGTTGTCACAGGTAAAATACATACCTCAGGGGTTGTCTGTTTGTGTTGTCACAGATAAAATACATACCCCAGGGGTTGTCACAGGTAAAATACATGCCTCAGGGGTTGTCACAGGTAAAATACATACCTCAGGGGTTGCCACAGGTAAAATGCATAACTCAGGAGTTGTCACAGGTAAAATACCTACCTCAAGGGTTGTCTGTTTGTGAGGCAACATGGTGAAACCAGGTGCTCATCAAGATAATGCAATCAAATAAACCGATGTTTTTTCAGCCTGTCTGGCAATTTTTATTGAAAATTTACTTTCGGTTTCTGTACATTATATGCTTATTTTAAAAAGCATTTCTGTTATGGATTTACTTTTAAATGTTGATAAAAGATACAAAAGAATATTGATTTGCAATTTCCAAGGACACTTAAGCTTTAGAAGTTGACAAATTGTGTCACCTATTTTCGTGTTAATTATACCTCTGATGCCAGGCGACCCTTTGTTCAGTTTCTTTAAAAGACAAGGAGAGTTTCCACTATAACCAAACAAATATACACACCAATGAAATCGAACTTCTCCTATAGGTAGGGCAATGCCCACTTTTGGTGTAGGTCAAGATTTCTGGAAACCCTCAAAATCTGGGTTAGCCCGCCTGTCCTTAAAAGCGACCATTTACACTTGGCCTATACCCTGATGCAGGGTGAGAAAGGCACTGATGATGATGATGATGATGCTGTGTTAAAAATGTTGCAGAACTCGTACGAAAACTAAAAATAAGCCTGTACAATTTTACTGTCTTTGTCCCCCCCCCCCTCCTTCCCCTAGGTGTCTTTCCAGTTGGGCAGCTTGATGGATCTGTTCTCCACGCTGCTCGACTTTGCCGACATTCCCGCTCCGAGCGACAGAACCATCGACGGCATCAGTCTACGGCCAGCTTTGTTGAGCAATATTGTCACAGACAGGTCGTCATCTTTTTCTCTGTCTGTCTCTCTTTCTTGTTAAACTCCAGCTAAAACTAAACTAAAACTGGGCACATAATAGACCTTATTGTGTTGCAAGTGCCTTAAAACGCTCACAAAAAAATAAACAATTGTTATGTCTGTACTCTATTTTTGGGGCTGAGGTCACATCCAATGAAATGTTAGGTCTGTAATCTATTCGTGACGTCACATCCAATGAAATGTGTTTTAAAAAAATGCTTTCTTGGGGTCACAACTAATGACAAGTTTTGTCTCTAATGCTCTCTTGAGGTCACAGCCAATGAAATGTGTTTGTAACGCTTTCTCGGGGTCTCAACCAATGAAAACTTTCGTTTCTAAACAATTCTTGAGGTCACATCCAATGAAAAGCTGTCTCACTAATGCTTTCTTGGGGTCTCATCCAGTGAAACATACTATTTTTGTCTGAAATCTATTCTTAAGGTAAGGTCACATCCAATGAAATGTTTCGTCTGTACAGCTTCTTTTTCCTCCCCCAGACCCATCTTCCTGTACCGCGGGGATCTGTTAATGGCCGCCCGGGTCGGTCAGTACAAAGCACATTTCTGGACCTGGACTAACAGCTGGTCTGAGTTTCACAGTGTGAGTGCTTTCGTTTTAGTAGAGGTTTTACGGCGCTCTCGGCCGTATAAGGTCATATTATGAGCACCAGAAGATTAGAGGTGTTACAAGAGAGTAACAAACATAAAAAAAGAAGGAGGGGAGATAGTTTAGTTTTAGTAGAGGTTTTACGGCGCTCTCAGCCGTATAAGGTCATATTATGAGCGCCAGAAAATTAGAGGTGTTACAAGAGAGTAACAAACGTAAAAATTAAGAAGGGGAGATAAGGATGATAGATATTTGATAGGAAAGAAGAAACAAACCACACCAGAGCACCCACCAACCACCCACACCGCGTGAGTGATGGACACAGGTCATCTGGTCCAAGGTTGTTTTAGGTTAGATGGGCCAGACTGCAGGAAACGTTGATTTAAAAATGTAATGCTTAATTTATTTTATTGTGAAGCACCCTGAGCCATCGGAGAGTGGTTGCTATTGATGAAGTGGTATTTTTTATTGTTATTATTATCATTGTTATTGTCAGTAGTAGTAGTAGTAGTAGTAGTAGTAGTAGTAGTAGTAGTAGTAGTCGTAGTCGTAGTAGTAGTAGTAGTAGTAGTAGTAGTGGTAGTAATAGTAGTTATAGTACATGTAGTTGTAGTAGTATTAATATTGTGATTATTTTTATTATTATTATCATTATTATTATTATTATTTTTATTATTGCTGACTGCTACCATTATTACCAATAGTAATAATAGTGGTATCATTAGTACTATTATTATTACTATTGTTACTATCATCATCATTATTATTTTTATTATTATCATTATTATTATTATTATTATTAGTAGTAGTAGTAGTATTATGCTCATCATTATTTAAATAAATATTGTTCTTCAGGGCACAGACTTTTGCCCAGGTCAGGAGGTCAAAGGAGTGACGACCCACAAACAGACAAACCAGACGGCCAGCCCACTCCTCTTTGACCTCGGCTGTGATCCACAAGAGAAATACGTGATCCCGTAAAGACAACTTATTTTTCTCCTTTTGTCATCCAGTAAAAAATGTATTTCTTCATCCCTAATATAAAGAGCTTATTTCTTCATTTATTAAAGAAAATAACTTATTTCTTCGTCCATAAATTGCTCATTTCTCCATCCATAAAGAACTCATCTAATTATTCATTCAGCTAAAGCTCATTTATTCTTTTTTAGTACAAGAAACTTATTTCTTTATTCCTCAAGAACTGATTTATCCATCCAATGAAAGCTCCTTTCTTCTTTCAGTGAAGAAAACTCTTTTTTTCATCCTTTAAAAAAAATGAAAGATCCTGTCTGATCATTTTGAGTGAAAGAGTGTGTTTTTTTGTAGCGGAGAGAGTGAAGGAAGAAAAGGAATTTTTTTTTTTTCATATGGGAGGATTCTAGGGCTGGACATGATGCGTTACAATTTTTTTTTTTTTTTTTTTTTTCTTTTAATGTAAGCTGTTTCACGCCTTAATCGACACCAGTTAGGTCAATTAGAAGACGGACTCTGACCCTGCCTGTCCTGCAGAAAGACACAGATCATCATTGCTTTTCTCACCCTGGGTCAGGATATAGGCCACGAACAAACACTTTCCACCTTTCCCTATCCTGGGCTAGTCGCTTGATGTAACTGCTCCACGTCTTCCCACTTTTCTGTACATCCATTTCAGTGACTCTTCACCATGTTCCACGAGGTCTTCCCTTTGATCTTTTACCCTGTGGGTTCCAATCTGACACAGATACTTGATTGAAATTCTCATGTCTAGAGTCAGGGTCACGTCTATCCCCACCTCTTTCCCCACTCCTCCTCCTCCCTTCTCCTCCCACCTCTCACCTTCCCTTTCCCCCTCCCCCTCCCCCTCCCCCATCCCCACAGACCAAGTTCCCCAATCTACCAACAACAGATGCCCGCCATCTTGAAAGCTGTGAAGGAACACCTGGCCACTCTGAAGCCCGGAGACCCACAGCTCAACTGGTGTGACCCGGCCGTTATGGTATGTCAGTGTG